CCCCCCCACCGCATCCCAAAACCAGTCCAACTCGTCCCTGCCTCCCTAACCTGTTCTTCCTCCCACCTATCCCCTCCTCCCACCTCAAGCCGCACCTCCATCTCCTACCGACCAACCTCATCCCGCCCCCTTGACCTGTCCGTCCTCCCTGGACTGACCTATCCCCTTCCTAACTCCCTACCTACACTCACCTTTCCTGGCCCCATCCCCGCCTCTTCGACCTGTTTGTTTCCTCTCCACCTATCCTCTCCTCTATCCCTCTTCTATCCGCCTCCCACTCTCTCCCTATTTATTTCAAAACCCCCTTCCCCTCCCCCTTTTCTGATGAAGGGTCTAGGCCCGAAACGTCAGCCTCTCTGCTCCTATGATGCTGCTTGGCCTGCTGTGTTCATCCAGCCCTGCACCTTGTTGTCTCTAAAAATATTAAGAGGTTGTTTGTAACAGTGGTGTTCTCTGAAGTGGGTGCCAGGAAGGTTTATGTTCTTATGGAGGAGGTGGGAGAGCAGTGAAAAGTTTTTTAGTACGGCACATGTCTAAGCAGGCCTGTAACTTTCTGACAGCTGTTGCCTTTGTCATTTACTGCCGTAAAGAAATTATAGCGTGGGCTTCACTTTAGCCAGGACGTGGTCTTGACATGCAACTTAAACATCCTTTGGGCTGGTGTAAAATGACTGAAATGAAAGGCAATAGAGGCAGCAGGGATCTCAGAAGATTATGTCAACCCTATCAGTGATTCCATTAGTGAAGGAAACGGTTTCAACATGTAAACAATCCTAACGTCAGTGACATTATGGGCATCCATCAACGAGGCTGAAACAAATTAGATCCAGATCTTACCTAGTACCTCTTGGCTCCTATTGTCCCAGGATCTCCAATAAAGACTTATGGGTTGCTGAAGCATTTTTTAAAAAGAGAACCAGTTTTTCATAATTGAGATCAAAGATTTAACTTTACCTGCACATTCCATTCCTGCATAAAATTCAGATTTGTAAATCTCTGAACAGTTTCCAAATATATCGAGCTCAGCCCAACGTAGGATGCTTACTGTGTCCCCTAGAAATACAAGAACACAAGTGAGTGACACAGCACACATGAATGTAACTCCAGCTATTTAACACTGTCATTTGTGCAGCAAAATTGATTAAATTAATCCCTGGAATCTTACCCATGAGTAATCCCAGTTAAAATGAGTTTAGTAGAATTTTGAAGACTCATCTAATCAATTTTATTCATTTTCCATACAATTCAGATTCTTACAGATGCATTTAAAATTGTTAGGATTTCCCTAAAGAGAACTTTCCCACAATCTTCCAAATGGAAATCATCAAATCAACAATAGTTAGTTACAATCCAATATTGGACGAAACCTAGCAAATACTTGTTTGATCTGTTTCATGTTGGAATCTTTTCGCGAGGTCACCAGTGAAGACTGAACTGGACCATTGTAACCCTGGCATTTTTGAACTTGAGCTGAGATTCTGACTTTTCTCCTCTTCAACTTCAAACTTTTATTTGATTCAACTTCCATAACTTTGTCCATCTCCACACTACATCAACTCATAGGATACTAAGACCCGCATCTGTGCCTGTGTTACCTCTAGATTTAACTATTTCAATGCTATCCTGGCAAATTTCCATTCTGTACCATTCATATATTTGAGCTCATCCAAAAACTGAGTTTAGGAGCTGAGACGTCACATTACAGCTGTGCAAGACATTGGTAAGGCCACATTTGGAGTATCGCGTACAATTCTGGTCACCCTGCTATAAGAAGAATGTTATTTAGCTAAAAAGGGTGCAAAAAGATTTACACACCGAGACTGGAATGTTTAAGTTGTAAGAAGAGGCTGGATAGACTGGGACTTTTATCCCTGGAGCATAGGAGGTTGAGGGATGACCTTATAGAGGTTTATAAAATTGTGAAGTGCATAGTTAAGGTGAATAGCCAAGATATTTTTTCCCCAGGCTAGGGGTGTCCAAAACTAGAGGACACAGTTTTTAAGGTCAGAGTGGAAACATCTAAAAGGACCTGAGGGGCAACTTTTTCACACAGAGGATGGTGCGTATATGGAATGAGCTGCCAGAGGAAGTGGTAGAGGCTGCTACAATCACAACATTAAAAGATATGTGCACAGGCACATGGACAGGAAAGAGATATGGGCCAAACACAGGCAAATGGGAACAGTTCAGTTTAGGAAACCTGGTTGGTGTGGACGAGTTTCCATGTTAGATGACTCTTACAATTCTACAACTTGGAATTTCTACAACATAACTCACATCAAGTCCAGTTAACCCATCACTCCAGTGATTGCGAACCTACATTGGTCTTGTTCTTAGAATGCTTCAATTTTAAAATTCTTATGTTTATTTTCAAATCCTTCTTTGGCCCTGTCCCTATCTATCTCCATAAGCTTCTTATGTCCTATAACACTCCAAAGATCTCTGCATTCCTAAAATTCACTTCATCATTGGCAGGCATGACTTCATTGCCCAGACCCTAAATTCTGCAATTCTCTTCTTAAACCTGCCTCATTATTTTTCTCTCTTTTCAGAAGTTCCTTGAAACCTTACACTTTTACCAAATATTGAGTCACCTGGCCTGATATCTCTTTACGTGTCAAAATTGTTTGTTAATTGTTCCCATGAAACACCTAGAAATACTTTACAAAGTTAAATCTGTAGTATCAGTGCAAAAGATTGTGTTCTACACATGAGAGAGACAGAGGTTGCCATGATTTAGTTATTTCTAAAATTCCGATTTCTGAATACATTTTTAAAATCTGCTTCTCTTGTACTTAGGAGGACATTATTGGTGACTTGTAAAAGGGAATATTTAAGCCCTCCTACTAATCTGTTTACACTGGATTCTTAGGATGTTCACTTGATGCTCACTGTTTCCCCAGTATTTATTGAGAAAATAATCCCCAGGAGCAAGTGGGACTAGAGAAATGTGGGAAAGTGGGGTTCAGATAAATAGTCAGGCTTGGTGTCTGTACACTTGCATATATATGTGTGTATACAGCAGATATGTGTGCTGATTAACATGTGTCTGTGTACTTATATGTAGGTGTTTCCATACTGCTATGTTTAGAGAGTGCATGCTGGATGGCTCAAAATAAAGGCATAGAAATGATAAAAGGACCCAGTGGGAAGAGGGACAAAGAATACATAATTAACAAAAATCCTGAACCCACCTCTGACATAATATTTTTCTTTTAAGCTTTGGGCTTTTAAATATAATGGACAATAGTTTCTCAAGGCTGGCAAAATGGCCTGAAAAGCTTCAATTTTTCGCACTTGTTTGTGGATTGAGCAGCATCAAAACTTTCACCTGCAATGAGGAGCATTGGAGCTGCACGTAACAACCCACAGCTCTCAGGACACTCAGAGTCTCATTGATGCACATTTTGAGACACGATAGAGGATAATTTCTGCTAGGGTTTGAAAAGAAGGCAACATTTTCCCAAAGTACATAAGGGAAAACAGAAGAATTGGGAGAAAATAAATTTCTCAACTAGAACTTCAAAAATATGAGTGAGTTACTTTTTGTCAGAACTGGAACTTTAGATCCAAGTTTAAAGCCATTGCACTGTTATAATGTTAACTTTAAAAGCAAAATCTTAGGATAGAATACTCTTATCACACAACTTTGTAATGGTGAGTTTACCTAGTGCGTAACCCCAACCAGATATTACACAAGTCTTCTTGGGTCTGAATAGATACTCAGACCATGGGACACAGACAGGTAGGACGTCGTGACTCAGTGGAATGCATTCCTTTTCTGAAAACACGTGCACCACTTTTATCAAGGCAATATCATTTTGGTACGTTTTAGGTACGTAGTCATGATGGATAATGATTTTCTCAACTGGTAAAATTTCTTCATTATCTGCAACATCTCTTTTATTGTACTTTGCAATCCTCACCACATAGTCAGACATGTGGTAAAGCCTGGAATAAAGACAAAAGAAATGAATAAAAATAATTTCTGCAATGTATTTCAATTATTTTTCAGATGTTGTAGCAGAGATCATGAAAATGTAAGTGGTATTTGTGGCGTAGCTTACTTTTCATTGACAAACTACATGGAAAATTATATGGGGAGAAGTCTGTTCATTTAGTGAGATTTATGTTGATGTCCTGAGACAGACAGAGCCCCTAGTTTCTACCTGTTCTGCCCTTTTGCCATTCTTCAATGATATCAATGAAGCTGTGTGAGTCAGGCAGGTAGCGTCGTGTGGCAATGTCTGCCCCTGGGGAATTGGCATAGGCCTGCTTAGCGCCTCTAGGACTGGTGCAAAACAAACATATTTTACCCTATAGTTCCATAAAAGGCAGATTCAATTAGTGACAACCACATTGCACTTATAACAATGACTTTTTCATTTTCTCATGCAACTAACAAACCAATTAACTAGTATTGATGCTGGTAAACTATGGCTTACATGACTGTTTGGAGAAAATTGAAGTCACACAAACTAGAAGTAGAACAACTAGTAATTTTCTTTGTGTGGAATGATAATGTATGGGGCTTGGAATATTTCCAAAACGAAGTGTGGAATTTACTATTGACAAATCGGGGTCTTGCCTGCTAGCTGGAAAAACCAGGCACCTCTGTTGGTGAAGGCCTTCCAGAATTTGGCCAGCAGTGGGTCTTCCCAGGGATTTCACATCCTGACAGCTCTCGATTGCCGTTCAACACTAGTGGGAAAAGTGGCAGGTATTGGTATTGTCACCACCAGAGGTTTGGGACCACAGCAGGACCGAGACCACAATTGATTGCAGATGGAGATTGGAGGAAGGGTATCACTAACTAGATCTTTGGGAGATTGAGAAGGAAGCACAAGGCAGTGCCTGTGAATGGGCCCTATGCTAGGTTTCCGGTTCTGACACAAGACCCCCAACACCGCCCTCTACACTGGAGCACCTAGTTTGCTGTTTAGGCTTGCTGAAATGCAGCTCCCCTGCTGGCCACTGGTTGGACACAAGCCGTGACGAGACGAGGCCCTTAATAACACACTTAAGGACTTCAATTAGCATCTAAAGTTATCCATGAGTCTTCCCAAGGGGTGGGCTAGCAGTTGCCCTCCCAAACCTTGTAGCCTGATTAAATGATCCCACCCATCTCCCACAGTTCAAACCTGCTCCTGACAAGGGTGTCAATAAATTCCACCCAGCATTTCTGTGGCTAAATTACTATTGCTGAATTCTTAATGCCTTATGTTTCGAAGTAAATCTTTTATGTCAAAAAACATGGAATAAGTACTGGTTCTCAGATATTAAGGAACTGACTTTTCATTTTGAAGTAATTGTTGATTTGTGCAGGCGGGAGGTATTGTGGGTAAACTCACTACAAGTTACGTTTAATTCGGCTACTTATTCAGAAATCTCACAGGCAATCAAGTACCAAAACAATGATTTGAACTTTATTGCATGTAGCAACCAAAATAAGACCCCTGAAGTAAGTAAATAAAATCTCAAAACCCAACGTGGCTATTACTGGATTAATGATGGAATCTAGCTAGGATTCCACCAACAGTGTCTGTCTCTGTGTGTCCAGGGTTCAATCCTTGTGCAGTGTTGTTCTTCGCTGTTCTGCAGCTGAATTGTTCTGGTGTTGGATTCTTATACAGTTTTCTCTCTTTCAAATTTATGGTGTGATATTATTAATGATTCAATAGATTCTTTTATCTCCAACATTGATTACGTTCCTGGAGACCTCAAGTCTGCAGCTTGCCTTCTTATCAGAAGCAGCTCACCTATTCCTTGTTACACTCAGGTTAGCTGTCTGTTAAAAACACAGATTTTCATTTACTTCAGAACCTTTGTTCTGCACGCAGATTTAATAGCCCATTTGTCATGAGGCAGCAGGTTATCAAGCAGTTTCTTTATCTCAGGAAACAGATTAATTGTGTTATTTCTTCCCAGAGATGGTTAATTCACATGTTGCTTTTAATCCCTTTATAACAGTTCCTCCTTGTCCTTTTCATCTTGAGAAACAGTTTATTCCAGAAAGAGGTATTGCTGATTCTTTCAATCCATTAAAGTTGTAAAGTATATATTATCACAGAGAGAGTAGAAAATCTGAGATTGTGGAAATTAGAGCAGAGGACAGCTTGGTGTACTGTGTACCAGGTTTGCACTAAAGAAGTATATTACCCTAATAATTGGAACTCATATTCATTTCCCAAGCAGAAAATACAGTATTGATCAGTTCTTGTGGAGGTAGGATCCCACCTTCACGTTGGGAATATCCTCCATCATACTGTGCTAAATAGGACAGACTTTGAACAAATCTCGCAACTCAATACTGGGCATCCATGAGGCGCTGTAGGCCATCAACAGCAGCAGAATTGTACTCCAGCACAATCTGTAACCTCATGGCCCAGCATATTCCCCACTCAACCATTACCATCAAGCCAGGGATCAACCTTGGTTCAATGAAGAGTGCAGGAGGGCATGCCAGGAGCAGCACAAGGCACACCTGAAGATGAGGTATCAACCTGGTGAAGCCACCAAACAGGACTACTTGCATGCCAAACAGCATAAGCAGCAAGTGATAGGCAGAGCTAAGTGATCCCACAACCAATGGATCAGATCTGAGCTCTGCAGTCCTGCCACATCCAGTCGTGAATGATGGTGGACGATTAAACAAGTCACTGGACGAGGAGGCTCCACAAATATCCCCATCCTCAATGAAGGGAGAGCCCAGCACATCAGTGCTAAAGATAAAGCTGAAGCATTTGCAGCAATCTTCAGCCAGAAGTGCCGAGTGCTTGATCCTTCCAGCATTATAAATACCAGTCTTCAGTCAACTCGATTCACTCCGCACGATATCAAGAAATGACTGGAAGCACCAGGTACTACAAAGGCTATGGGCACTGACAACATTCTGGCAATAGTACTGAAGACTTGTGATCCAGAACTTGCTGTTCCCCTATCCAAGCTGTTCCAGTACAGTTTCCAACAATGTAGAAAGATGCCCAGGTATGTCTTGTAAACAAAAAGCAGGACAAATCCAACCAGGCCAATTACTGCCCCATCCGACTACTCTCAATCATCAGTAAGGTGATGGAAGGTATCATCGACAGTGCTATCAAGCAGAACCTGCTCAGCAATAACTTATTCAGTTTGGGTTCTGCCAAACATCCTGACCTCATTACAGCCTGAGTTCAAACGTGAATAAAAGAGCTGAATTCCGGAGGTGAGGTGAGGGTGACGGTCCTTGACATCAAGGCCACATTCAACCAACTGTGGCATTGGGGACCCCAGGGAAAACTGAAATCAATGGGTATCAGTGGGAAAACACAACACTGATTGGAATCATACCTGGCACAAGGAAAGATGATTATGGTTGTCATTGTTACAGTTCAGTCATCTCAGCTCCAGGACATTTCTACAAGAGTTTCTCAGGGTCGTGTCCTAGGCCCAACCATCTTCAGCTGCTTCATCAACAACTTTCTCTCTGTCATAAAGTCAGAAGTGGGGATGTTCACTGATGATTGCACAATGTCCAATTGTGATTTCCCTAATACTGAAACAGTTCATGTTCAAATGCAATAATTCTGCTCAATATCCAGGTTTGGACTGACAGGGAGCAAGTAATATTTGAGCCACACAAATGCCATACAATGACCATCTTCAATAAGGGACAATCAAACCACTACCCCTTGTCATTCAATGGTGTTACTATCACTGAATTCCCCACTATCAATATCCTTAGCATTACTGTTGACCAGGAACTCAACTGGACTCACCACATAAACACAATGGCTACAAGAGCAGGTCAGAGGTTTGGAATACTGTGACAAATAACTCAACTCCCGACTTCCCAATGCCTGACCACCATCTGAAAGGCACAAGTCAGGAGTGTGATGGAATACTTACCTGATGGGTGCATCTCCAACAACACTCAAGAGTCTGACACCATCCAGGACAAAGCAGCATTCTTGATTGGAATCACATCTACAAATATCCACTCCATCCACCACCGACATTTAATAGCAGCAGTGTGTACTGTCTACAATACGTACTGCGGAAATTCACCAAAGAGCCTTAGACAGCACCTTCCAAACCCATGACCATTTTCATCTGGATGGACAAGGGCAGTAGACACATGGGAACACAACCACCTGCAAGATCCCCTCCACCCACTCACGATCCTAACTTGGAAATATATTGCCAGTCCTTCACTGTCACTGGGTCAAAATCCTGGAATTCCATTACTAAGGGCATTGTGGGTCAACCTACAGCACATAGACTACAGCAATTAAAGAAGGCAGCTCACCATCACCTTCTCAAGGAACAAGCAATAAATGCTGGCCAGCTAGTGATGTTGATGTCCCATGCATGAAAAAAATGTCATTTTGTGCAATTTTGTGGAACTATGTCCATGCCCAAAGATGTTTGAAATATATTTGATTCCATTCGGTCAGATGTTACATGTGTCCTTAGTCGATATGTAAAATATTTTTGGGCCTGTTGCATGTGCACCTATTTTAGGAACATTTCTTGGACTGTCCTTAAACAGTTTGAGAATAAAAGGAAGTAAATAAACTGGAATGATGTGAGGATCAAAGATCATTGGATATTAAAGTGGACTGAAGTCCACCAGAATGGCAGAAGGTTAGAGTATTAGCTCATTGTATCCAGGTGTTCTGCAGAATGGGCAGAACCCTCCCAATGCACTCTCACCACACACACAGAGGGATTTTTTTTTAACCGAAGTCGAGAACAATGAGGGAAAATTTCGAGAGGTTTTTAAAACTGTGAAGAGTTTTAACACTGCAAGTGATGACATCTGGTTGGGGAATCAGAGAATTGTTGATATAATTTCAGAACTATCACCAAGAGAATGAGGCAAAACATTTTGGACAATATTTTGTTTCTATACAAAGCGTTAGAACAATCAGAGGGCAATCAAGGACAGGAGCCGTTGAACAATTTAAGGGCAAATTGGATAAAAAATTGAAGCAAAGTGAGACATAAGATTATTGGATGAGTGTGGGCAGTGAAATAAGTTTCAGATTACTCTAATAAGAACACAGAATAAGTGATGGTTTCCTTTGGATTAGAAATGGCATAGAGAATCTGCTGTGTAGATTCAGAGGCCATTAAAGAAAGAGGGACAACTAAGTACAGCTGTTAAGAAGGCTGAAACACAGCTCAGTTTTGTAACCAGTGCAAAAGCAAAGATGCAATGTTGAGTTTGGATTGCATGTTAATCAGAGATTTCACCCAATGAAAAGAAATGCATCTAAAGAACATTGAAAAAGTGCTGAGAAAGAGCATAAATCTTAGATCATACTGAAGACCTTCAATTATCTGTTGTGTATTTTATGAAGAGATAGTGATTGCCAGCAAATACCTTAAACAATGTGCAGCTGTCAAAATCCAGCAACCACCAATGAAGACTCCACCACAGTTCAACTTTGTGCCATCATAAACTGCTATTTGCCAAGGAAATTGACCCTTTAGAAAGAAAAGAAAGTGTAATTACCTCACAATAATAACAGTACATTTAGAGAAAGTACAATATAAAACATACCCATTATTCAAACTCACCTGTTTCAAAGAAAAGACAATATCTACAAAATAAATAATTTTCAAACAAAATTAGACATTTCAGGTGTGAATCTCCATGCAAATTTCCCAATCTTCCAGTTATTGTTAATTACTTTTGGAGCTCTGTAAATCATACACTTGAGTGACAATGGAATATGTGGAAAAACCTGGTAGAAATTCTTTTCAGTTGGTAGTGAAGACTCAGAAAGTGATCACGTCATTTTTTCTAATGATGTGGAGATGCTGGTGTCAGCACAGGGGACAATGTAAGAAGTCACATGACACCAGGTTTATTTGAAATCACAAGCTTTTTGAGCACTGTTCCTTCATCAGGTGAAGTGGGGGGAAGAAGAATGATGTTGCCTTCATTGCAAAGCAGGTTGTTTCTAGCTGGACCCTGAAGGCTGCTGTATTTTTACAACTTGCTGCTGGGAACAGTGCATTGCACCCTCCAATGTCCCACTAGTATGGTTGCTGTGAGGAAGAAGACTGTGTCTGGCATACACTGCTATGCTTCGAGATGGCTGTATCAGGCAGATAGCTGGCCACCAGGTAGCAAAATTCCACTAGGCCCTGCATTCATATCCTTTCTGGACTAATAGAGCAATCAGATCCTGATATCCCTGAACTACAGAAAGATATATGAGTCTAGAGGCCCTTGTCCTGAGCTACAGCTGTGTTTCCGTAGAGGTGGAGGTCGTGTTTGGTTATTATCTAGGGTGATCATCTAGGGTGTGTAATGAAAGCAACTTCCCTGATGTTTTAGCAGGGAACTTGAGAATTACGTCTGTCGGAAGAGGTTTGGCATCTGAGCTCAGAAGCTGTACATAATTGTGACCTTTTTCAAACTATCTCTTTTAGGTGAGCATAGATAAGTTCTGGGTCTCCCTTCTCAAAGATTATAAACAGCCTTCTTCTTATTCTCCACCATGAGTGGCTATAATTGTGCAGTAGTTATTGTCACTGATCTAGTAATACAGAGAGCTTGTGCACAAATTATGCTTTTGAGGTAGTCAATCGTCAGAAAATCATTTGTTGATGAAAATCAGTCAGGGTAGGATACCTGCTAAACCAGCCTCTATCTGAGAAAGCTCAGCAGGTCTGGCAGCATCTGTGAAGAAAAATCACCGGACCTGATACATAAACTCTAATTTTTCTTCACAGATGCTGCCAGACCTGTTGAGCTTTTCCAGCAACTTCTGTTTTTGTTCCTGATTTATAGCATCTGCAGTTCCTTTGGCCTGTATCTGACTCCAGTCCTACACCAATGTAAATGCTGTTGCCTCTTTATGGCTCTTTGAGGTATCCATATTAATTCAATGCAGGCCATAAATGACTAGACTAAATTCCTTGCCAGCAATGCCCACTCGCTTCCCAAGAATGAATTTTGAAAAAGCTCAGAAAGGGGATTATCCTGACCTATTCAGATTCCTTTGTCTCCCTCATGCTCAGTGAAACACCTCCTGCCTAACACAATCTAGTCCGTCCTTTTACAGGAAAGTATCCAAAATAGTCTTCGAGTGAGGAAACTTGAAGCTGGGATTGTGTTTAAGGGCACTTGTGTGGAACAGGTCACTGAGAACTCCTGGGTGAACCTGAGTCCAACTTATTGCATTCATCTCTTTCTTTTTCCTTTTGACCTTATTACCATAATTCATAAGCAGGCAGTTGGGTTTTGTGCTTCCAGCCACTGCCCCTTGCACTGATGGATTTGCAGGGAAGGGAAGTATGTAATGGAACCTACGAGGGAGCAAGCTATCCTAGATCTAGTCCTGTGTAATGAGACAGGAATAATTAATGATCTCACAGTTAGGGATCCTCTCAGAAGGAGCGATCACAGTATGGTCAAATTTAAAATACAGATGGAGCGTGAGAAGGTTAAATCCAGTACCTATGTCCTGTGCTGAAACAAAGGAGACTATGAAGGAATGAGGGAGGAGTTAGCTAAGGTAGAATGGGAGCAAAAACTTTACGGTGGGTCAATTGAGGAACAGTGGAGGACTTTCAAAACGATTTTTCACTGTGCTCAGCAGAAGTATATTCCAGTGATAAGGAAGAACTGTAGGAAAAGAGAGAGCCAGCCATGGATGTCTAAGGAAATAAAGGAAAGTATCAGATTAAAAAATACACATACAAAAAAGAGTAGTGGGAAACTAGTAGACTGGGAAATCTTTAAAGGCCAACAGAAAGCCACAAAAAAAAGTTATAAAGAAAAGTAAGATAGATTATGAGAGTAAACTAGCTCAGAATATAAAAACAGACAGCAAAAGTTTCTATAAATATGTAAATCGTAAAAGAGTGGCGAAGGTAAACATTGGTCCTTTAGAGGATGAGAAGGCCAATTTAATAACTGGGAATGAGGAAATAGCTGAGACATTAAACAGTTATTTTATGTCAGTCTTCACAGTGGAAGACACAAATAACATGCCGAAAACTAAGGTTATAGCAGGTGAGGATCTAGAAACTATCATTATCACTAAGGAGGCAGTGCTGGGCAAGCTAATGGGGCTAAAGGTAGACAAGTTTCTTGGCCCTGATGAAATGCATCCCAGGGTACTAAAAGAGGTGATGGGGGAAATAGCAAATGCACTAATAATTATTTACCAAAATTCACTGGACTCTGGGGTGGTTCCCGCAGATTGGAAAACAGCCAAAGTGACGCCACTGTTTTATAAAGGAAGTAGACAAAAAGCAGGTAACTGTAGGCCAGTTAGCTTAACTTCGGTAGTGGGGAAAATGCTTGAATCTATCATTAAGGAAGAAATAGCAAGACATCTGGATATAAATTGTCCCATTGGGAACACCCAGCATGGGTTCATGAAGGGTAGGTCATGTTTAACTAATTTGGTGGAATTCTTTGAGGATATTACTTGCATGGTGGACAATGGGGAACCTGTGGATGTGGTGTATCTGGATTTCCAGAAGACATTTGACAAGGTGCCACACCAAAGGCTGCTACATAAGATAAAGTTGCACGGTATTACAGGTAATGTATTGGCATGAATAGAGGATTGGTTGACCAGTAGAAAGCAAACAGTAGGGTTAAATGGGTGTTTTTCTGGTTGGCAGTCAGTGGCTAGTGGTGTGCCTCAGGGATCAGTGTTGGGACCGCAATTGTTTACAATTTACATAGATGATTTGGAGTTGGGGACTAAATGTGGTGTGTCAAAATTTTCAGATGACACTAAGGTGAGTGGTAGAGCAAAGCGTGCAGAAGACACTGAAAGTCTGCAGAGGGATATAGATAGTCTAAGTGAGTGGGCAAAGGTCTGGCAGATGGAGTACAATGTTGATAAGTGTGAGGTCATCCATTTTGGTAGGAATAACAGCAAAATGGACTATGTTTTAAATGGTAAAAAGTTGCAGCACGCTGCTGTGCAGAGGGACTTGGGTGTCCTTGTGCATGAATCGCTAAAAGTAGGATTGCAGGTGCAGCAGGTAATTAAAAAGGCAAATGGAATTT